CTCCAGTGCACCAGCCCTCCCCCGCTAAATGTCGTACAGTCCTAAGCACAATAATGAGAAAATTACCTCATCTGCTGTTTAGCCTCCTCAAAACTGTCGGACATGAAATAGACGTCCTGATAGGTGGTGATGAGACACTCCTGTTGTACAACAGCTTCCGGGTCAAAGGGCAGAACTTTATCCTCTTGTGTCAGTGCATGCTGGGTAAAATATGAACGTTAAAAAATGACATGTAGCTGCAAATTTGTCAATGTTGTACTCTAAATAAGATCTAGAAAGAACCATTTACATGTGAGTTATACCTTATTTTATTTCAACAAAGAAACACATTACCCTACCCTAAAGAAGGCCAAAAATTAATGAAATTGAAATCTAATGAAAGTCTTAAAAACATACTCTATACTCCTGACAACATTATCGTTTGCTAAACTGGACTTAAATCTGGTTAGATATAGTTAACTCCAACTCAACAAGGTTAGATATATCATCATGATATCGAATTTGTCTTTAAACCACATTGAGAAAATTTGAAAATAGCCATTTTGATTTGAGTCGTTTACATTCGCAAGATCCAACCTGTTTGAAACGGATTTAGTAAACCCCAGTGTGAATGGGCCCACTAGTCTCCTACCTTTAGCTCGCCGGCAGATGACAGCAGTCCTGCTCCGTATGCCCTGATCTTCCCGTCCTCTTTACACAGGCCGAACTCTACCGAGAAGAAGTAGCACTGCAGGCGGAAAACACAAAGCAATCGTTCAAGATGGCGGACAGACTAATAGTAATAAATGTAGTGAATTCAAAGACTCTACCAAGCTTCGGGAGGCGGCTGGAGAGAGTAGAATTTGGCAACATAGAGAGATAACATGTCGGGGGAGTCCGTCCGCGTAGTTTGCCTCTGCCCCTGGCATGTTATGTCTCTATTTGGCCAATTTCTACTTTTTCCAGGCTATAAGATGTAGTAAATGGCATAACTCGCGTCGCTCGCCGAAAAAAAATAACGCCGCCCCACAAGTCTGCTAATATAGACTTTCATCGCACCACAGAATCTGCTTGAAGATTAACCATATATATGATACTGTGAAAGAAGTCATGTAATATATGCTCATGAGCTAGCTATATATATAGCAGAGTAAACTCACCGTGGCTAACTTTTGTACCTCCTCATCCGAGGCGCCGAGCGAAGCCAGTCCGATCTCGTGGGAGAACTCGGCAAAACTCGGGTCGGCCAGCATGGGCACGTGACCCAGCAACTCGTGACAACAGTCCCTGGGAAAGTAGGTACCAAAGAACGATCTTTGAAATAGTGTCACCAGTATGAAAACAGAAACTCCCCTGCAGTTCCAGAACAAGCTGCTAGGGTGACCAAACCCAAACTAATTAGCCCTGATACAAAACGCTATCTGCCACCAAATAATCAAGACCGTAGCATGTCCAGAACAAAATATACAAAAACCGGAAGTTCGGATGCAGTGCGAAGGTCAGCCACCAGGAGGCCCATATTTGACCTTGACCTTCGTCTTCCCAAGACCTACCCACATACCAAGCATCATCACAATAATCCATAAAGACCTTCTTAAGTTATGTTGACAACAAATATATGGAGCACACACACACACACACACACACACACAAACACACACACACACACACACACACACACGAAGAGACCCAAAACAATACCTCAATTTTTTCATGGAGATAATAACGTGGGAGTAATGATAATTATGGTTTGCTTACGGTTCCGGTGTGTAGAAGGGGTCGGTGCTGTGGCGGATGTACTGGGTACAGTGGAACACGCGGAAGGCAAGTCCTGCCAGGAAGTCACGTGGTGTCAGGTACCCCGCCACCGGCCGCAACTGGAAACCTGTTCGTTCTGAGGTCAAGATTCAAATATATCCGTTACAGGTTTCACATCAGGTCATTTTTCTCACAATATGATTTTTTTTCTGCTAAGTAACTCTCTGTACTATGCTAAAAAAAACTATTTTGATATAGCTTTACTTAACACTTTCGAGCAAATGTAAGGTTTTACTTCGTAGCCCCAAAACCAAAATGAACTGTTGCAAAATCATTTCTGTGCAAAAAATTCATCCTTCCAGTAGAATTATTTCATGTAAATATTAAATGTTCAAAGGTTACCCCCGAGCAAAAATCCCGATTCGTTTTTACTACCAAAATGTATGTATTGGAACTGGTGAACTCACCTTTAAGAAATGCGGACACATCTTCCAACTGAGGGATGTTGTCTTCTCTGAAAATTAAATCAACAAATTTGCCTATTATATGTATACAAAGCTTATATACGACTATGATATGCCATGGCAAATGAATTATCATGAAGACGTGAATAACTCGTGTCCAAGGTATCTGTATCTGTATCTGTACAGCCGATATAACCAACTTTCGGCGTAACACACCATCTTCGCAGGCACGCGGCGCGGTGGCAGCTGGCTATATTACAACGATCGACATGTTACACCTAACCCTTGAACTTCTAACTCTAGACATTGTTTGAAATTATAATTCAAATTTAGAATGCAAATTTGAGTAAAGTACCCTGGGTTGGAGCTCACCTATATCCGCAGTACATGCGCAGTAGCGGCAGGTTGTTGAGGTGCTGTTGACAGGCGTGTGTCGGGTAGAGTGACGTCAGCTCACGGTACACTGCACCCCTGTGGAACAACAACAAAAATATCTCGTCATTTCTACTAATGTAACACTAGAAATGCTAATAGAATATTAACCAATAGCCAATCGCACGTGTTTGTGATGCGATTGGTCATACGAGCATGACAAAGGCTAGAACAGAACAACAATTCGGGGTAAGATCACCAATAAAAGTGGACTTTGATGCATTTCTTTTTTCTTCTTTTGGGTACAAAAGTAAGGTTACGGTGGCTGATCTGACGATTTGTGTATCTGTTTGTCCAGATAGGGTGGGGTAGGTTGACAGAACGTGGGTGGGAAAGATTTACAGTCAGAATGACAGGGGGTCAAAAGGTCAGACACAGGAAATGGGGTAAATGTGAAGGTCTCAGAATGAATTTTACCGGTATCAGGACTTTAATAGTGGTGCAGATGTCTCAGACTGATCTTTTGTTCATTTTGATAATACATGTTATTTTTTTGTGCAAAACAACTGATAAGTTGCCAAAACGCTAAAAAATTTTCTTTCATACTTCCACCAAAGTTTCCCTTATAGTGTAGATGGCGTCCTCACTCGTTGTCTAAGTTGCATCGGACAATAACTCTCATAAACGAGCTACCACCACGCCCCGAACCCAGCAACGGTCAAACACACGCAGCACGGAAATAAGCTAAATTGAGGGCTGTTAAACTTTGGTCTCTACGTCAAATGAATTTGTCTCTTTTACGAGTGCTTGATATGAGGAAGTTCCGAATTTCTCTTGTCAAATATGACGTGCAAAGGTTAAGTGGGCAATCATATTTTTGACGTTATAGGTTATATAATGCTCTAACCTTGACGTCATTTCGTTGTGGGTACCAGTTTAAAGTGGTATTGAGTTAACTGACCAAGCTAACCAACTATCACAACACATGAAAGATCGGTACTGTGTAAGGACTTACCATGTGTTCACTTCTTCTTCGGTATACTTTATTCTGGGTATAGGTTGACCGCTGCAAAACGAACATAAGGCGATCAGAGATGGCAGGCTTCACCCCCTTACCCACACAGCTTTGTAATACTTCCAGCCCGTAACACTGAAAATGCACGGCACACATACACACAAACACTCACACTTACGTTACATGTAGAGCTCTATACTCGTTTCACCACCGTACAATATATTCGTAGACTAACTTCCAGAAATAAGTATTGATATAGAAAATAATGAATTAATCATCCTATACTCACTATTTGTAGTTCAGAGCGATTTCAGCGAACAGCTTTCTTCTCTCCCGGTAGACATTGTCCTTAAAACCCTGTTAGGAAGCACGTTCAAAACGGATAGTTAAGATATCAGTAGGCATATAAACATAATGAAAGTACACGTTATTAATCTCCAAGCAGATCATACTGTGGCAAGGCAGTATTCATTGGCCAGAGGAGTGTCCATTAGCCACTTTGCTAATGGATATCGTCTCGCCACTGTATGATCTGCTTGGATATTACGCGTTCGTCCATGTACATCAGGACCTACAATGAAACCTTGACGGGGGTCGATACAGACTTCCAACCACCTTTGACCCATTGCTGACGTAAAACTTGGGAGGGTCAAATCTTCTAAGAAATCTGGTCTTAATTAAGTCATCCAAAATCCTAACCCATCCAGGCATAGAACTGGCTACAACGACCCTGCATGATGCAGAGCCCATCTGTATGTCAGAAATTGCTACGAGCTTGCACGGGGACGGGGGGCGCCATAGACTTTCTGCAACTTATGATCCACTACTTATGGAGTACCGCGTGTGTTATCTACGTGACGTCATTGAAGCGGTGGATTCAAGGATATTATAATGTCCTGGTTTGACAAAGACTGGAGTTGTACAGTCGAAAATTTGGATAAGTCCAATTTCTTGTATGGGCAATTGCAGTTCAAACTTGTTTTATAATGCTTGGAGATCGGATTGTATCACTCACCGGGTGGTCGGCATCCAGGTCGTTTCCGTACATCAGGACTCGGCACGCCGTCTTGTCCAGCTCGCTGATTTTGCGCGGGAACCAGGGAACCTCAAACCCCTCCTCATCTGAACAAACACGTCAATTACAACGTCATCACAAAGCCCCGTACGTGTGTGTATCTATTACATGATATGTCGTCCATAAGGGACTTGTGGAAGTATATTTTTCACATTTACAGCGTGGATTTTATCAATTCTACTACAGATCAAAGAGGACAGTCTTACACAGCTATTATTTACACATCAACGTTGACCTTTTTAGGTCTACTTGATTGATTTCTCTGATTGGCCGTCTCGAAAACAGCTAAAGAGTAACCAAGTAATCAAAGATTTCTAGTATATAGATATGCATTATAGTTTGTTACAATACATTCCTTGTGACCACATCATTCAAAACAGTACAAATCCCTGTCAATCAAGTAAAATCTCCGCCCATTTATTTTGGAATCCAAACATACAAACCTAGGACAAATTAGCGCCACCCAAAACACATACTTCCGTCCCGGTAGTAAAACTAGCATACCTTGTGCATTGCCCTTGCCGATGCTGTCTGGTGTGTCCACCTTGACCATCTTGGTCTCCCTCTGAATCCGGGAGATCAGTTCGTTCATTCGGGTCTTGTCGGCCTCACAGTCCATGTAGATTTCAACCACCGATTTCCGCCGAAGAGAGCGTCGGGACTCGATATGCAGAACGCTGACCTGTTCTTCCTACAACATTAGACAAAAAAAAAAAAATGAAAGTTGGCCTGTATTGGCAGACATTTTTTAAACTCCGACTTTATTCAACACAAGATATCAAATCCCAGGGCATACTGTAAGCACTTAGGAACGTCAATATGTTGCACACTATTACTAAAATAATTTTTGTGAGGGGTGAAAGAAGCCATTTACGTCAGAGCTCATCATTGTTCTTGTACTAAGATGGGGGCCGATATCGACTTCTAACCACCTTTGATCTTTGACCCACTGGCACTAATGGGAGGTCACGTTCTTTGAGCAATTTGGTTCTTTAGTTATCCTGATCAGATGGTCAAAATTCAACATGTCCAGTTTCTTGCGACTAAAACAGCTTAGGTTTTCCAACAATTGTACCTTGGACTTAAATCAGTACATTACCCGGGCAATCGCAGCCTTTTATAGAGCTTAATTAAAGCAGGGCTTACAATTAAATAATACACATAATACATATAACATCTTTGCTTCACACAGACTTTTGTGGAACTGTCGCAAGGGTCTGCCACCAGGTGACCTCAATATGACTTTCTTTCCCCATAACCAAAGATTTTTCTATACTAGTACCTGAAATAACTGTAGCACGGCAGCAAGGCCCCCAACGTCCTTCCTCATAGACAGGATGACCGGAGTGCGAACAGGTGCAAACGTCTCCTCACAAGGGAAAGACGAGATGCGCCTACGGGTTCTTGCCCCTGCAGTCTGAGCAGGTAAATTACCAAATGGCATTAGATTTCTCTCAGCAGTCATATTGTTTTATTGCAAATTCATGCCCGACGGCTAATTGCAGGAACAGAAGAAACATTTGGTATAAAAACGGACAGTTAGTACACAGAGAACTACTGACAACTCCTAAGAAACTACTGGTAAAAAACTACTGGGTTTGACCTATTTTTTGAAGACAGAGAAAGACGAATTTCACTCACCTGAGGAATCTATGATGAATTGTAACGGACCATGGTGATACTACAAAAATACTACGGGACCATATTTTTGCTTCCAATCGACAATAACTGACATGACAATGTAGGCTATAGCTAGTGAAAAACGTACATACATTATAAGTTAGTATATATACGGCATTGCATAGATGTACAGTAAAATACCTGGTTAAATTCTCGAACTCTGTTAGTGTGTCTGAATCAAAGTGCCTCTTCCCTGGTGCATCTTTTGAGAACTGTTTCTGTACCGAGGTATTTAAAGTGGATTTCAAGGCCCCTCCCAACCAACCAACATTCCGGACTGATTGTTCGATAGCGACGTCATTAAAACCGGAGTAAACGTCATCAATGACGTCACTACAAAAAAATTTGTTCCTTTTCATTTTTTGTAGCTTACAAGTAGGTTGTGGGAGTTATATAGCTTCCGTATTCCTAGGAAGTTAGAGAACGTCCTGGAAACAATGTATGAACTTTCGCCCTTCTTTAGTTTGTTAGGCTAAGTTGAAATTGACGCAAGAACGTTTTTATTCATCCGGTAACTTTTACACAAAGATCAGCCACTAGAAATGTCAGTCTACGTTTGACGTCAATTTATCCACCCATTAGAAGACAAAGAGTGCAACATCGTCAATGATTTCATGCTACAAAATGGAACAAAATGATTTGCTGAAGCACCACCTATTGTACGTTGAGGACCGCACGTAAATGTAAAAAACGAGCGTTTTGTTGCCATCACCAGGGTTACCACCAAACGCGTCAGACACTGGCGACTTCATTTTGCCTCCATTGTTTGCCAAGCCGAGTAGCCACAATTACTCCCTCTACATCAGCACCTACCTTCACACTGTACACAAATTAGGACATTTTATTACCCCCAATAAACACTAAGCAAATGAAACCATCTCATCCGGTAGGCAAACCACTCCTAATATAATATTTGATCTACAAATTTAGAAGCGTTAGCCTGTACTCACCGATTTTTCCACGCAGAGAATTTTGTAGAGAAGACGTTTTAGAAAGCTTGTATTCGGACAAGACATCGCGCCTAACAGCCGAAAGACCAACCAACACCTTTGATCTCAGCAACGGGAATCTTTGTTCACTCACTACAAGCTGCGTTTATAACTTATAGATTTCGACGAGTTTGAAAAACAGTGACCAAAATAGGTTGACCTATGTCGAACGATTGGGAGCTGTTATCAGGTTTGAGGTGATTAGATTGTGGGTGTAATACGGAATGCGTGCTGGGATAATTTCTCTTTTCTTGCGCACTTTTCGTGATTTCTTGAACTCTAGTTTTAGGTCGATATTCGTCCGGTATGAATACGCGAGTTGCTTTTAATGTAAATGTTTCTGATTCAGAACTTTTGATGCTACACCCTGATGCTACGTTTACAGTCTGGTCTCGGGGTTGACATCTTTGAAAAGGTGATATTCACCTGTTATGTCAATCCTTCCACAAATGTGGTAAATCTTCATGAATAAATAAACACCCGATAGATATAGCAGTACCGCTCTTCGCTTATTTTTTTTTCATTCCACGTATGCAGGGAAAAATCGCTCACTACTTCGCACTTCCTCTTCCTGAATGACGCTTATTTGCATGCAATGGAGTAGGATTAATTTTGAAAAAGAAACTACCAGAAAATTGACTTTTTGTATCGTTCAAATGTTACATAATGCAGCTTAAATGCCAGTTTTAAAAGTGCCTAACTGTTATCTGAGGCAAGAAGACGTAAAACATGATGTGCAGACCTAGCGCTAGCTAGAGACAAAGAAATATAGAAGCTAAGACTTCATTACTATGTCATATAACTAATATACATGTACGCGAAGGAAAGGATCAACTATTCACACATGAGGCTTGCTTTGATATAAACTGACATGAGATGATTTGTCACTTTTGGTCATCATTTCTCGCAGATCAACAACAGGATTCATTTACCAAAATATTTAGCTACAAACTGTATAAAGAATACATAACATGTCAGACCAACTTGACCACTGCATATTCTAGGTTCGGAAGGATATCATACAAAAAAGAACGTTTCACTTTTATTTTTTCATCAATTGTCATAGTAAAAGTGCGTACTCTATGTGACATATGCGACAAAACCTGAGATTTGTTCACAAATTGGCTTTGCAAATTGTTTTGGTCCAAATACATTATGTGCTAGTCGTCTTTTAGCCATATTTTTTTGGACGAACACTCTAGCTATGATAGAATAGCAAAAATTGTTATAGACGAAAATATTAGGCATAATTTCGTTCAAGAGAAAATTTTGATTTCAAAACTCCTACAATATGGAAATAGATAAATGAAGGAAACAGATTTTCGGTGAGTAACACAAGGGTGCGACAACCACCTGTTTTACACACCGCCTTGGATAAACATACAACACACTACAGCACAAATTGTGTTTAAACAACCACTCCTAATTGAAATTTGATGATTTCTACACCGAAATTGCATTTTTCTCTCAAGGAAAGAGGTTCAAGACTACTTACCCCGTCCTTGGTAAGAAGGGGGCCTCGGCTGCCGTTGTTTAAAGGGAAGACGTCAGAAAACCGCCGCCCTAACAGTTTTCTTCCCGACGACATCTTGGAACTGATTCTCAGACAACTTCTGACGAACATGGATCTCGGCTGAAACAGATACAATGTATCGTTCATCAACAGTCTTTTCTGCAGTGCACCTATCAATATTTTGCAAACATAGGCGGGAGAGAAACAATTAAATCCTAATTACTCATGTTTTTCAAAACAGAATGTTTTGTAAACTCACATTATGTTAAGGCAATTAGTGGGTGACAAAAAAGTACTCACATGCACCTGTGAGATCTAAACGACCAGGGCGAATTTTAAAGTCATAAAAATGTAGTTTGAAGACTATGTGGGAAGGCTGCTGTTTGTATCCCACCAGTAAAATGCAGTGATTGTTGCCCGAAGTCTTCTATTGCCACACGCGACTCAAGAGGCTAATCAAGGGCCATTTAGCGAACTACAATGCCTACATGCGCGGACTTCCTTGGCTACGGGCGTGCCTCGCATCAAGAGACAATAAAGACCACAAAAACCATCTGGATTTGGTAAAGAAGCCACGTGTCGGAGGCGGTGGGAGTTTTCCGGCAGCTATTGCACCCATCTGTGTATTTACGTCATAGGCCGTAATTAGGGTCCCATTGATCCGGCCATTTTACGGCAAACAGATGGCCCACACTGAACATAGCACGGCGTTCGGAATACTACATACGCTGCGGCACGTGCGACCAACGAAAACTTGTGATACTGGTAGTATACGCCAAAGAAACAGTTACTCAAGGAACTGGATATGATTTTGGAATATTATTATCCAGTTGCCTGAGCAACTATTTTTTGGCGTATCATATTACCTGGATGTCTAACTTTCACCGACGTGGAGCAGAAAGATTTTTTTATTAATTTTCAAAAATCATATCCAGTTGCTTGAGTTACTATTTTGGCGTATCTTATTTCCTGGATGTCTAGCTAACGTACTGGTAGTATAAACTACATTAAACAAAGCTGAACAACCCCTGATAAAGTTTATATGGCATATGGTGGTTAGTGGCCGTTTATTATGCTGCACAAATGACCAATATCGCTAGGTGGCGTGAACATAAATGCAAATCGCGTTGACGCTCTGCAATATCCTGCTGGCTTTAGATGGCGGTGGATGCTTATTTTGAAATCTCGAGGAATATATTGTATTTGAGAGAATCGTGCGTTTTGTTTGTTTTTTTTACTCTCAAATTAAACGGAGGAGAAAGAGAAAAAACGTCGAGGGGAAATACTACAAGACAACACGAGTACAAGGAACGAGTAGTTGTTGTTATCTAAACCACTTAGGAAGGGCGTTGTCGTGGCCGTTCTATAATCTACATTAAATATTTGTCCTTCCGGATCCGTCGTTTCAGTTTTAGCGGCCCTGACCACAAATGATTTAGATGAAGTAGTGACCCAAGAGGACCAGACGTTAGCAAAAAACGTACGTCGAGTCAAAACACAGGTAGGCCAACTTATTAATGTCCAGCTTTTAAACTATTTTTTTCGTGTCGATTGTTTAGTGTTTGTGTCTTAGTTTCTCCAAATGTTTGCATTGTTTTGAATTTGGTGTTTGTTTGAAAAGTTACTGGGCCAAGAAAATTGTGGCTTACGCTGTGATAATTTTCAAGTTTCCCATTTTCGTCCTGGTTCATAATTTATCATTTGGCTAATACTAGTACAACATTGTCTGAAAACGAGCACCCAAGTTGTGACATTAAATCGTTTGATTCACATATATAATCACATTTTCAGACTCTTGACCAAACTCCAATACACGCAGCAAACACGCGCGTATCCCTACTGAAAAGTGGCGCCAAAATTGACAGGCGCAGACGACAGTTGCTGCGGCCATGTTGACATTTGTCACACCGCGAAAGAAAGGGTCGTTGCGGTTGGATGCGTTCCGATAGAAAATGACCTTTTAAATGTGTGTTATGAGTGTTTGAATAGGCTCACTTGTGTTCATAAGTCAAGCTTTTAATCACTGGCATGTGGATTGATACTATCAACAACGTTATATACTGCAGTACGTATAGCTACAAACAAAAGTATGGCCTAAGGCCGCTCTCATGACGTCACTAAACACTGTGCACATGTATTGGCTTATCATCACATCTGTGATCATTTACTGATGACGCCAATGGCTGACAGACAAGATTTAGGCCAAGCCTACCTTTCTATACAAATCGGAATGAATTTGAGTTAAATTTGAGTCAAATCTGACTCCCGAACACGTAGCGAAAAACTGCTGACTTATTCCCGAATGGTTGGCTGGTGTTCTGCTGACTTACAGCCAAATTCAAGTCAAGCATGGTCGACCCTCCGCCCGACCAACCCCCGAATGTTTTAGACATTTTGAAACGATCGCCGAACACCAGCCAACGTTCCGCCGACCTACTCCTAACCATGGTTGAGGGGAGGGGACCTTTGGCTAGTGTTCGGGAGACTATGTGACAAGAGCTTCGTTTCATCAGGTTGGTAAGACACTGAGTGAAGAGACCGCATTGTAGATACATTTCCCTGTAATCACACATATTTGTAGATGTGTAAATATTGTACGTTTGGGAATGGATCTATAGCAGTGACACCTGTGCTGCAGTGCAATGTGAACCAGCCAGAATTGCCCTGAGGAAGGTGACAGACGGTCGCCGAAATGTCGGCTGAATGAAAGACTAAAAAGAGTCAGTGTGACAGGATATATATACAGAATGCGTGCTCCCGAACCGTGCACATCTTTCCCCAAATAACCAACCACTTCACTGTCACTTCGTGCGAAACCAACCTGGTATTCCGACACTGTTGGGACAATTTAGACCCAAGATTGCTGAAAGATAGCACCCTTTGTCGCTAATCGTTGACCTGAAAGAACTTCAAACAACTTAATTCTTGAAACGTCAGTGATAAGCGACACTGAATACAAAAGCAAAGTGCTGTCACTGCATTTAGAAAAGGGTAACATCTTGGACAAATGATTTTATTCTAAACACCCGCATAAGGATATTACGGTGGTTTGTACATGTAACAAAGTGTGCCAATTTCTTCACCGTAGAGAGCAGCACAACTGCGTCAGACGTAGAGTAAAGCTGTCAGGTGAATTTTTGAAACCAAACAAATTAATTTCAAAACGGTTTGATATATGCGGTGTATATTAGGTGCAGGACATTATAACAGTGAGTCCACAACTCTACCTCAGTAAGCCGTCATTGTGTTCGCAATACACCATAAGCTAGAGAAATATCCTCTTGCGCCACTGTAAGATTGGAAAGTTCCACATGATTGAAGTCCTACTTAGCGGAGTAGTTTGTGGTTTAAGGTAGTTATTGTCCCACCGGATATTGTTGGTTCTACAAAGCCGTGCTGCTGACGTGTTGAGAGGTTGGACAGGTACTAGGGTGACTTAGGTCATGGTGGTGGCGTGACCGAATTAAGTGCTACACTCAGTCTTCCATTTCAAACCTTCTGCTGTGTAAACTTTTTTCGTAATTTACTTTCTTTGTCTTCTTCTTTCTCCATTTCTGTTATGCTTTATTCCATACTTTACTATATCTTTTAATGAATGCTTGTTTCTTTCTTCCTATTGTTCAATTTCGTTCTGGCGTACTCTTACCCCTTTCTTTTCTTTCGATCATTTTATCTTTCTATCTTCTTTCATTGGTCAGTAGTAGTAGTAGTAGTAGTAGTAGTAGTAGTAGTTGTTGTTGTTGTAGAATGATTTATTGCTCTTAAACGACATCAGATTTTGACACTAAGATCTAATTGTGAGGCTTGTTTACACAGAAATGCACTTTATACTGTACATGATGTGTCTATGCACTGTACATGATGTGTCTATGTATAGAGGTACATCATGTACAGTATATACTGCTCTGTTGTGTCTTTATACGGTACATGATGTGTCTATGTATATAGGCACATCATGTACAGTATATACTGCTCTGTGTATATACTGTACATGCATATGATGTGTCTATGTATATAGGCACATCATGTACAGTATATACTGCTCTGTTGTGTCTATATACTGTACATGATGTGTCTATGTATATAGGCACATCATGTACAGTATATACTGCTCTGTGTCTATATACTGTACATGATGTGTCTATGTATATAGGCACATCATGTACAGTATACTTCTCTGTTGTGTCTATATACTGTACATGATGTGTCTGTGTATATAGGCACATCATGTACAGTATATACTGCTCTGTGTCTATATACTGTACATGATGTGTCTATGTATATAGGCACATCATGTACAGTATATACTGCTCTGTGTCTATATACTGTACATGATGTGTCTATGTATAGGCACATCATGTACAGTATATACTGCTCTGTGTCTATATACTGTACATGATGTGTCTATATATGTATATAGGCACATCATGTACAGTATATAGACACAGTGCACTATATTATCAAGGACGTTATATCTTGTAGTATTAAGAATTTCTATAAGTAGGCTAGAAATGCTTAGTAAGTAAGTAGGCTACGTGACTTCTCGGTTGGCTGCCGTGCACAAATAAACCAGAGATCACCAGTGTATCTTCCCTTTGTTGTTGACGTGTTTACAACACAAAGGGTCTTCCTTTATCTTGTCGTCCTTGAGTAGCGGGCTGTGACATGTACATATGTATGTGTCATCACTTTGTGGGACTTGGATCTTATAGCCTGGTGGTATGTGTATAGCCGGTATAACCACCCCTCGGCGTAACACACCAGCGTCTGTATCTGTATCTGTTTCTGAATCTCTATCTGTATCTGTACAGCCAGTATAACAGCCCTTCGACGTAACACACCAGCTTCGAAGGCACGCGGCGCGGCGGCAGCTGGCTACATTACATCGAATGACTTGTTATACCCAACCTTTGAACATCGATCATCTAACTCGGATATCCATATAGTAATGATCCTACCTACAAGATGAGTTTTTGAACACCTCAATTATTGGTTGATAACTCTGGCACTTGAAGGCATGGCTATTTCTCATTCTTTTCGAACTTGTATTAGGTACTTAGTAGCTGGTACATCACCAGTGTGTTAGCTGGTAACCGCCCTATCGCCAGCTTTAAAAGATCTGCTTGGAGATTAGGTAAAAAAAAACACCCATATACCTGGCCCTTGGCATGGTTACCAGGCTAAGGGATCTAGGGCCGAATTGTCCTACCGGACGTTTTTTCAGTGACCCTGAAATTTCCTTCATTTCCAAAGGTTTTCTTTGAGATCTACACAGAAATGTTTGAGAACATTTTGGCAAGGAAATGAAGACGGTACCGAAGTAGTCATTTTACTTACTAGTACCATACAGTGAACGGTAGTTTACATGGTCGAAAGGGGGGGGGGGCAATATAATAGCTTTGAGGGCAATGCCCTTTTCCTAAGCGCACGCTGGGAAAGTGTGTCTAGGTACGAAGTTGCTGGTTCTACTGATGAGTCTACGGCTACCTTCCTTCCTTACGCCTACACAAACAAATCGTCCGCCTTGCCCTTGGAATGTTTCTTTAAGACATTCGTCATATACGAGGCGTCAAGGTTAAGTTGAGGTGAATACAGACGGTAGAGGATCTTGGCGGGACAGCATTCTTCACACTAATTGAATCACACACTTCTGTAGACACAATCATCCGCACTCTAACTTAGTATTGTTGTGAATGTTTAACGTATTATTATAGTTTTGTTTGGGATTGTTAGGTGTCAATTAGAACTTTTGAGTTGCGTATGAGTCTTCGCACTTCCCGGTTGTTGAATCACTTACTTCTGCACACACAAGCATCCTCCCTTTAACCTAGCATTGTTGTGAATTTTTAACGTATTATGGTTTTGTTTGGACAGTTAACGAGACTTTTAATTTGTGGATGACGTAAATTCCGCCCATCGTCGGTTTAATCATAGGTCTGTTTCGGTGGCAATGACCTTGCACTTTTTATGACGTACCTCACGACAGTTGTAAAACTTTCGTTCGACAAAACTGATCTAGAAACATTTGTCGTAGGCTGTCTTGCGATTTTGATGTCGTAAAATCTTTAACCAAGCAGACTGTGACAAACCAACCACCCCCGACGATCTAAGACAGCTTTTTTTCGTAACAAAACACAGGAGTTTCGTATACAACACATTCACGACTGTCCCAGGAATGTGTACGACTGTGTACAACGAATATGTCCGGTCCCTTAGCAGTGAAGAATTTTTGCAATAACGTTTGGGTACTTGTTCTTGACTTTGACCGTGTTTATACACAAGGCAGGAACGATACCATCAATAGTTGTCAAGGGCAACCCTTTTTCTACTTGGCACAGTCATGCCGCTTCCCTGGTAACGGTTCCAAACACGTACCCTATCAACCGTGTGTGCCACCCAGTTAGTGTCTTCATTCCTCTTTCAATGAGATGCCTTAGATAGTTGCCTTTGTTGTCTCTTCCACAAACAAATAAAATAACAGCTACCTCGTCGGGGGAAAGGCACCTTAAATGTCAGTGATCAAAGCATTGTCAATTTGGCAGGTGTCTCGTCCTTTTGCTTCAATTACTCAAAGTTCTTCAACCGGACAGTAGAAAAGAATCAGCAAACCCTACCGGAAAATTACATTGCAATTGTAGTTTCTGTGGACTAATTCTGTTTTCTAATCGTCGCAAGGCCGCAGTTTTCTCATATTTCTTGTGTAAACGGCATAAACAGATATATTCTACAGAAAAGTACGTAGAAACTATAGATAGATAACCGTACTAAAAAGTCACAACTTTTGCTTTTTCTATAAACAATTTTGTCTCAAAAAAGGAGATATATTCTTCAGAAATTAATGTAGAAGCCATAGGACTCTCCAAAACAAATACAATTGAAGAATATTTGTAATCAAGAGACTCAAAGATAAAAAAAAAGCTAAAACTCTCGACCAAAATAAGTGATGTAAACTTCCTACTGGTATCGTGGAAGATTAGCCCATACAACATGATAATTAAACGCCTACACCCTAAATTCACTCATACTCCCAAATTTCCAACGTTCTTCCAAGAACGCTAACTACAAGACTTTCTGATACTAATCTATCTGCGTCATCCACCAATGAGACATCAGGAAACTGGGTAACCTTTGCAACGACACAAACAATAATCCACCCCCACCGGCGCAGCCAAGAGCTAGCAATGCGTGCAAACCCCTTTTAGAAGTCTAGTACGCAGTGTTGGTATAGTGCTCAACCATGGCATACTGGGGCTTGGTGACGTTGTATTCTATTGTTGCGGTATTCAGTGACTCAAGCTAAGACCTACCCGCACCTGTAAGCTGAGCCCCACTTTCCACAGCCACCCAAGCAAGACTGACTCTTTAAATATCCCCGCAGAAACCGGGGAGGCCAATTGCAGTGCGCGCAAAGACGCACGATGGCCACCGTACCGTGTTTACTCCTCTTGGCGGCGATAGTCGCACTGAGCGCCGCCGCCCCGGCTGACAAGGCATCGGCACTCCTGGACGGCGAAAAGCGGATCGACGAGCCACTAAACATGCTGATGCTGGAAGCAGCGAAGTTGAAGAAGGACGAAGAAGAAGCTTTGACCAAGAAAAGCGTCGACTCTCAGAAAGACTGGCCTGTGGACGCACCCTTGATCAAGAAAGTTGTCATGAAGGTAAGTCTTGTGAAAACGAAAATTTTATGAACTTTTTCTATACAGGTAAAGTTTTGTTATCGTTTTTTTTTTACTCTTTCAGTAGAAAACGGCTTGAATGTCTAGTTCAAGAGAAGTTTTAAGTGATTGGGAGGAATAAAATCACTTCAACTTTGCGATAGAAAATCCTAAGGGGCATGTCCGCGTTTCATACTTTTTGAGGACTTTTAGAGAGAAATGCTTTTCAAGTATCGTTGCTCTAAGCGATTGGTTAAATTGAGTAAACTTTAAATCGAGATAGAGATGCAGAGAACATGTTTCCGGCCAATTCTTTACCTCTTTCAAGTAGTTTCAGCTCAAAACTTGTCAAATATCGTGCCGTTTTTCACAATTTAAAATAAGTCGCACCCTTTGAACGGAAATGCAGTTCTAAAATCTCGTTACATTTGTATATTACACATCCAGAATAACAAAGTAACAACAAATAGACAACTTAAGCTAGTTGTGGTTAGCGTTTAAAGTTTTTTTCTCAACTTTGGTTGTTGTTACAAAGCACTTGGCTTTGAAACGTGTGCGGTTTGGGGAAAACACTCGGCGATTGTAGTTCTTCATGTAAAAATCAGTTCAGGAATTTTCTTGCTTGTTTAACAAAGCTTATTTTGACTAGACTATGGGACATGTTTCTACAGATCCTTGTTTCTACCTAGAGCACTACAAAAACTTTGCCGTTTTAAAGGTCTTTTCTAAAAGCGTGGACACGAAATGGTGGATGGATTCACGGATGATCTTTCTGTGTAGTTCGTTGGTTCTTGGTAGCCTCTACCAGGCTTCGGGAGGCGGCAAACTGTTCTCTATCTCTCTATTTAGCCGATTTCTACTCTTTCCAGCCGCCTCCCAAAGCCTGGTAAAGGCTAGGTTCTTGGTTTGAGCGTTAATTTGCCCGTATGGAGATAAAACCGTTGGCTATGTAGGTATCATCTATATTAGCGTCTGATCATGAATAAGAGAACTAAGAAGCCGCATTACTACATGTTTTAGTGGTGTAAGATCCTGAACCGCCTATGTTGCGGGAGACCTGGCTTCCATTCCCTAAATGTTGTCCATTTTGCCATCATTTATTTCGTCTCTTTTCTTTGCCTCTCTTTTTGTTTCTTAATCTCTACCTAACCGCAAAAGTTTGATTCCATACTAGTAGTCGGTTTTGGAGCGAGGTGGTTTTATTTCATAGTCTTAAAGGGCCGTACTCTACAAGTGTATATAACTCAATGTATTGTCCTAAATTTAAAGTCAATCCACTGGTCTAAAGTGGCATGAATCAAAGTTCAAAATTTAGACTGTCTTTGAAGCAAATGTCTTTAAAAATTAAATTTATAGACTAGTTTCGAAGTTTCTGTTCAAAATGATCTCCGGTAGAGCTGATTCTACGAGACGACTCACTCACTCACTCACTCACTCACTCACTCACTCACTCACTCACTCACTCACTCACTCACTCACTCACTCACTCACTCACTCACTCACTCACTCACTCACTCTCTCTCTCTCTCTCCCATAGCTTAGTCTCTACTCTGACAATTGTATATAGACCGGATACATGATAAATGAGTTAGGGACAGGGACGGGACTGTACAAACAAACATACAAACATGGACTAGTTGGGCGGAGAGAGAAAAGAATTTTCTCATTAAGTGGAGCACTTAAACACGTTTACAGGTCTGGTGGGGTCATTCCAGTGGACTAAATCGTAAGCCGATACAAAATGTAGCAATTTGTGGACCTCCCCCTGGTGGCAGCATGAAGAGAAGACACTATAAAATCCGTACCTTAGAAACAAATTCTATGTACCAATACAAATTCATCCAGTCTGTAGATTGTGTCATTTAAGCATTTGAAAAGGATGACAAAATTTGGGGGAAAAGGACAACAAGTGTTGTCCGTGATTATCTAAAAGGCAGAACAGTTAAAAACGAACCATAGAAAATAGAACAAAGTTTTTTACATGTACTGTGAGCTATCAGTAGACTTTCCGTACACTTAAGTAAGACCAACTTTTATTTAAAAGTACATGAAATTGTAGAATTCGGAATGAATGAATGGTGTGTTTGTTTATCTAGATTTGTGCGGTATGTTTCTGGTAGTATCATAGGCTTGCAGGCCGGCCAGACGTAAACACAAATACAACATACAGACACAAAACGTCGTCTTCTGGACATGGTCGTCTGCGAAAACACAATGAGAAAAAAATCGCCTAAATCTTTACATATCACCACAAAAGACTGTCACCACCATATATTACGCCCTTTACCACACAATGGACGGAATGCCGTACTTTGATTGGACCATGTTAACATTTGAACTCAACGGAAATCGTTCTGTAGTGACTACAATGGGTGAAAGGCACGCTTGATTGGTGGAGTTAAACTTGCGTCTTGGTCTAAATAAACTTATTACAAGTCACTGTCCCATTGACATTTTTCACAATCTTCAGTCAATAGAAGCAGCGGGGAACAGATATCTCACTTTAATACATCAAAGCGTTCTAAACATCTGCTGCTGCTGTGAAGAATGTTTTGACAGAAAGGCCAGCTTTAATGTAATATAAACAACGATTTACAAACATAAAAACAAGTTACCCAGAATGCATTTCTGTTCCGGATTCAGCAGGGCGGGTGTTCCGCCATCTTTGATTTTTTTTTGGGTGTGAGAGAGACCAAAGTATATACGTTCGCTCTGAATGTATATCGTAGTTTCAATGTTTTCTAAATGGACGTATAAAATGATTAAAAACTTAAACACTCTATGTGGATGAAGCGCCAAGCAAGTAGCTTGCTTGACTCTAAGCATTAGAGTTTTTATTATGACCTTATTATTTAAGTTCGAATGACTTTTGTTCATTGCAGGTTCTAAAGGAGTTGAAGAACCCAACAGATGTGATGTCCCAAGACAGCAGGGGTCTTCAAGAAACACGAAGTAAGACACTGACATTTGCTGTTTGTTTGTTTCTTTGCTTGTTTGTTTGTTTGTTTCTTTGTTTGTTTGCTTGCTTGTATTGGTGAAGTCTACCATCATTCCCTGTCTTGGCCGCTTGCATGGTCAACATCAGGAACTACTTGCACTCAAGCGGATTGATACATCAAGAAAAGTGTGTGAGTGACGCGATCTCTACCTTTCCCTCACAGCGCAATGCGGAGGACAGTTCACCGACATAGAAGGCGAGTTCACGTCTCCGAACTACCCCGAGAACTACGACAACGAGCTGAGCTGTACCTGGACCATCACACTGCCGGACAACAACCTCGTGCTTCTGACCGCCGACGACTTCCAGACAGAAAGGGCTTACGACGTCGTCAAGTTTTTCGACGGTGACAGCGCCTCTGCATCTGAGATACGGAGGTAAGACTGACTGTCAGTCTGTTGGCTTACAGTTTAGCCAATAAGAGAATGGCATATAGGGGTTCGACCAATCAGAGAATGGAAGCATGTCCTTCAAGTATATGCTTTTGTATGGTCTCTACGTTTTGATGGAAGTGGGCGGGGCTATAGGATCGGTCTTTCCCCCTGTCCGTCTCTCTCTCTCTCT